ATAGACATATATGGAAAACAATTTAATATAAATATAACCACCTCAAATACCAAGGGGACCTTTTTCAAAGTCTAAAAGTTGTGTCTTTGGGAAGGAGACGGATAACAAGGACTTTTTATATCTTCCGAAGTTAAGTGTTTACGTAATTTGACTTTAAAAACTGCTAAGTTAGACCTAATTTCGAGGGGAATATTATTCCAGAGGAAGGCATATTTGGAGGCAAAATATTTCGAGGGGAATATTATTCCAGAGGCAGGCATATTTGGAGGCAAAGAAGTGGGTGCTTACGTAATTTGACTTTAAAAACTGCTAAGTTAGACGACAGCCTAATTCGATGGAAATATTATTCCAGAGGAAGGCATATTCGGAGGCAAAGAAGTGAGAATGGTTCGATTTATTCCAGAGGAAGGCATATTTGGAGGCAAAGAAGTGAGAATGGTTCGAAGGTTACGTAATTTGGCTTTAAAAACTTCTAAGTTAGACGACAGCCTAATTTCGAGGGGAATATTATTTCGGAGGAAGGCATATTTGGAGGCAAAGAAGTGAGAATGGTTCGAAGTGGAGCTGAGGAAACGGGCGCAATTTGGCCTCTGTACATCGATATTACTTCCACCGTTTGACTAAGTGGGGGTTTACGGGACAAAGGTTTCAGTGTGGGACACGAAACAGGGAAAAAATAGTTTTAGGACGGTCCCCTTAATTCTCAATGGTCCTTTCCTAATGTCGTGGAGAAGCCTGCTCAGCAAAAGAGAAGTTGTTAGTATCAATGTTAACATAAATGTGTAGTTTTCGCTTGAAAGTAGATAGGCTAATTAACGAACTAATTTCAATTGGCAAACTATTCCGAAGAAATCTAAATCTGGAGGCAAAGAATAGAGACCGCTTAGATGGGGAGGGCGCCCGAGAAGTTATAGTGAATGCGGAATTTAAAAGGTTATAATGGCCAACTAACAGGGGTAAGGACAGAAATCTAGGGAGGTTTGGACTATAATCAATGCGGAAAAGCAGAGAGAAGCCTGCTTCTAGTCTTCTTACCCAAAGTAGCTTAAGTTCCAGTAGCTGACATTTACATGCGTAGAATGTATTTGAAAGTGTCAGATATAGTTCCCTTGTAAAATGTCTTTGGACATTTTAAATTTAGGAACGACCATGTTAGTTCATTAGATCGAAAAGTGGGCAGCGATAGTCAATAATGGGAAGCAACCTAAAGTTTAAACTGAAATTATAAGAAATAAAACCGCAAATCTGGGCAGCTTTGCCGTAATTCTATGGATGTGAGGCAATATAATTAGTTTTCTAGTGTAACTTAAGCCTAAGTAGTTGATGAAGGAATTGCTAACCATTTGGCTACCTTCAAAAATAACAGACTGAATAAGCCTTTCGGGTCCAAAACACACTTTATGTCATTAAGATTGTAAAAGTTTCATTAGCCATGCTGGGCTCCACACAGAAAGAATATCAAAGTACGAATTAATTTGTTCTAAGCATCGCTCGGCTGTGTGTAAGTGCGTCGAGATCATGTTAAAAAAAATTTTTAAAGGAGGGACGAACGAAAATGGAGTACGCGAGGAAGATTAGTCGGCTTTGGGAGGGACAAAAAATCTTGAAAAATTTCGTCATTAGCGCTGAACGCAGGTAAAATTAAGCAAAACTCTCATAGTGCTCCGGCTTTCTAGTATAATTAACCATGACCTAAGAAGGTTATCATCATTGCAATAGAGGTAGTTGACATATTTGACGTAGTTGACATTCACATTCCTGTTACGACTGAAGTTTTTGTATTTTATTTTCCGTTGCGGAAAGCCATTTTGCATACAACCAGTTCGCCATCTTTTTTGTGTTGGAAAATGTAGTTGATCTTCAAATTAGCCTGCGGAATGAAGTATATGACTTTATAAATACATATTGGTGATTGTTATTTTGTCTATTACAACCAAAGGTTGCCAAGATCAAACATTTGTTTATATCTGTCACTTGTATTCAATTGATGTCGGTAATTTTATGTACGAAAATAAAAGCAGCCAGGCCCTAGTTGTACCGAAAACTTTTTACCCGTAATGGGTGACGAAGACGTGCTGTTCGACGATGTTTATGAATTGAATGAAATAATTGGAAAGTAAGCTTACTAATAGATAAATTAGAATCGTCCCTGTCGATTGTCTTTTGTGATTAAACGTGTTTTTGCGATTTTTACATGTAATGGCCTCAAAGTAGGCGTTGTGGTGGGTTAGTTGCTTTCATCATCTATACTTATGTGAGTTTTCAATCGCCATGAATCAAATGAATGTTAATTGTTTACTTAGACGTTCGAGGTTGCGCTCGTTGTTGCAATTTTACAATATCCCCATTAGGCTTACTGGTAAAGTGCGTCAGTCAGGCGAGTCTTTTATCGTTTGACCTGAACTTACTCGCGTTTTCATCGTTAATACTTCTCGCAAATTAAATTTTATGTCATTGCCCAGTCGTCTTGTCCTATGGAATCTATGTTTTCTTCCTCGTTCTAGAGTGGAGAATAATTTAAAGTTACGATTGTTCATATTACCTGTCCTTAACACTTAGTATTATGAGTGACATGAATCTCAAATTGTGCGGTCTATCAATGCTTTAAAATTGAATGTTATATGCTTAACCTACGACAGCCCCAATAAGTAATTTTGGTAAGGTAATTTGAATTATAAATACGGACAGGTCTATCTATATCAACCCAAACACACTAAATAGTAATCCTTAGCTGCCTGCCTCATGGTGCTTTAGAGTATATATTAGTGTTGTGCACAATTGGTTAAGTATTAAGGGTAACCTTCTGACATTTCGGTAATGACCATATCTGTTAACTTTAATGTCTGGAAATCAAGGAAAAGACCCCAATACCTTTATCACAAACGGTACTCATGTAGATAACAAACACTGAAGCTATCTTTTTGGCTGTATTGGCAAACTTTACCATAATGCAGTGTCACCATTACATTGAACCCTATGCAAACACTGAACAGAAAGTGGTCTGGGGAGCATTTAAGGTTTGCACCATCTTTCAGTAACTACATCTGCTCTGCCGCCTATGCAATCCGAGAACATGATTTTAAAGGAAGAATATTCTTTTACAAATAGTGCACAATATCTGAAAAAATAAAGTGCCAGGCTTACCCGAACATCCTGCTACGGAAAGTTATTTACAAAAGACACTAAGAATGCAAATGACATTTGCGTTTCTTACTCTCATTTGCCGCTTGTGTTGCAAGTTATGACTTAGATATGGGTTAACAGAAAAAATTACTTTGCAAAAGGTTGAATACCACCATACATCGCCGCCTTCGGTAGAAAGAGCAATTGAACGCTTTCAAAATGTAACTGTGCGGTACACTAATTAATTGTATATCTCAAAGCCTACACTTGTAACTGGTGGACAAAGATCTGCTCCTAGAGCCTGTGATAAGGTAGATGCTTGTCGAAACTATTCAAAGGCAACTATCGGTAGTAAAATACTTATGCTTCGTCCACTCAAAATCAGTAGACCTTATGCATCTCTCTTTCTTTTAGCAACATCACAGCGAAGATAATTTGAAGCTGTAATATGCAGGTTGTTACTTAAGTTATACATATTAATGCACTCTCTTATTTACTGTTGTTTGGTTAAATTTTGGCGAGAATTTGCTGTAGATACCCATATTTTCGTTTAAATTCATTTTCGTGTAGGCTGTGGTAATAGGTTAATGTTTGAGTGGTTGCGACTAGTTGCTGACCCTTTCTACGCATACACACATTTCTTTGTCGAGAGTTGAAAATTCCCATTAATGTGGTGCATGGGAAAGTTAAAGAAAATAAACAAACTCAAACTACAAATCGTTCTAGGAAATAGGCAGTTTCCGATTAAAATTCCTCAGCTTATGGAAATTCAGCTGACGTTTAGGCTTTCAGTTATAAAGATTTTCTGCCCATAAAGTGGCCCAGAATTTGTAGAAACCATAATGAATATTAATACGTCGTATACATAAAACCACCACTTCTTACGATCCTGATTTATCAAGGGCCTTTTTGTGGTTTTGCATAAACAACTCTTGTTGTTCTGAAGTTTGTCTTTAAATAAGCAAATTCAACAAAAATGATGTATGCGTATCACTCACCTTTGTAATAAAAGTTAAGGATTTTACCTTTTAAACATTTGCTGTCTTTTAAAAAGCTGGTGGTCCATTCTTGTGTACATTTGCAGGCTTTTAGTTTAGATGTCTTTTTTCACTTGCTTCCAGTTCTGATTGCGAATGTCGTAATAGCTAATTTCTCTACATGTCAAAAGATCCTTAGTTAAACTGATTATTTATTTTGATTACAGAGGTCCATTTAGCGTTGTTCGGCGATGTGTTCATCGTGAAAGCGGACAGTCTTACGCTGTCAAAATTATTGACATAATCAAGTTCACCGGAAGTCCTGGCCTGTCCACTGCAGGTTCGTCGTTTCAATATAAATCAAGTTTTTTTGATTTATTTACGTTTTAAATGATTAAATGCTCTAAAATATACGAAAGGATCTGAGGTTACCACAGAAATATATACACATTCAGTTAAGAATGTCTATTTGATTTTCATTTCCCTGAGGAGCATTAAAGTCTGGTTGACGGATTCCGGCTCAGAAGTTGTAATCCTGCGGTCATCCTAGTCGGTTACTTTACATTGGTTGTATTTATTCCATAGTATGAATGTCAAAACATATATGCAGTCAGCCATTCGAACGCGATACATATTGTCGATATGACGCAGTCGATCGGAACATTTGATGACGTTGGAAGTCCCGTTTGGTGGCTCAGTATCTGGTAACACCGTTCACGAAAAATCGATTCGTTTAGAATTAAAGTGAAAAGATCTGAAAATCCTAGATGTGCATGCCACCTTTTCCACTCACATTGTCAACTATTCAACTCTGAGTAATATCGATAAAATTAATAACATATGCTAACTGATATTTTAACATTTTATTGTGTACCAAAGCGAACTAAAATGTATTCCTTATATTAAACTAGTTCTTTTACGTACTCAGTCTTAATGTCAATATTTGTATTACTTGTGTTTCTTGCAGTCCCCTTTCATTCCTTCTCACGAGATAAACTTTCAGATGTGACCTCAAATTGAATTTTTTAAAATACGCCATGTACTACTGCGGAGAGTATTATCTATTTTATTTCCTGTACATTCAGTGATGACCATTAAATCCTTTATCAATTATAAACCTAGGTCACTAGTTGAATCGGGTCCTATTTTTAAATGGAAATAGTCGTGTTAATCTCCTGCTCGCAAAAGGGCATTTGACATGCGTTTAGAATGCGGAATTTTATAGAAAAAGCCGAATAATCCAACATTGGTTTTTTTGTATTGTTCAAAATATCACTTTTGAGGTCTTGATAAATTTGTTTGAAAATATATGCCTTTCTTAAAGGTCCCGATTGACACGCATATTCCGATCATGATGGCAATTAGGTATTTAGCAGTCTTAGTATTCCTGTATAATGTAGGTTTGATACTAGTTTTGCGAATGGAAGTGTCATAATTTTGTATCCTTATGTCAGTATCTCAGTCAAACGAGATTAAACTGTCGTAGGACTTTACATTTTTTAAATTAGCAATGCTTACGCAACCTTCAAGACTTTCCACGGAAAAGATGAAAATTTCATTTTATGGTATAAGCTCATCTAATTTCTCTCATTTTTAGCATTTTATCAGTCGAGTTCTGGCTGCAAATGCAGTTTGGCTATTTTCCGCTGTGAAATGAAATTGAGCAAATAAATGTTTATGTTAGCGCTCTATCCACAGTAGGATTATGTTGTACTACGCGAAATTGTAAAAATTTAAGAACAGCTATGTATAAATAGTTTTTAGGAAAAGCCTTAGGAATTTAACTTACTTATTTTCAAATAACATATGATAGGCAAACTCGGCTTTATTATTGTGAGTCCCACCTTCACATCTCTTTTTAACTTTTGGTAGGCATTTCTTACTAGTGCTGTGGGCTAGTAAAAGGCTATCTTTCTCACAACCTGGAAGAGGTAAATCATTTACTGTTTTCGACAGGCAAATGAAAGTGGAAAAATAGATCACTAAAAATGGCACGTGATTGGTCAGCAGGGGAAGCGGTATGTCGGCAATTGAGTTTGGCATGGGTTGTCTGCAGTCATCAGACTCCGTGATAAGGAAAGAAAAGTGGTTATGGCGGACGCGCCTAGGTGTCCTTTTTGCAAGGGATGGCTACAGTGTGATGGACGCTCCCTTTTAGGCACGACTGCTTCGCTGAAGTCGGTCAGAATAAACTTGCACTCTAAGATGACGTAATTTTGGATGAAAATGCGTACATTCTTGATAGCACGTACGACGGATTGCCTTGTATTTTAATGGAGCTTACAGGACTGCGTTAAGAGCAATATTTTCACCTAACTGGTGAAAGTGACATCCGATCCTAAGACTATATATATTAATCCTACCTTACGAGCAAGAAAAGTTTAAGTATTGGGCGCGTTTGTGTTCCTCTTGAAAGCAAGTGCACAACCCGATTTAAAAGTCAAGTTATATTTTAAGTTTGCTAAAGGTAACAAAAGAACGTTTTTTTTCAGTTTGCATTTCTAGATTCCTCTCTCATTAAATAAAATACCGACTTGAAACTTAATTGTTTTACAATTCTGTGGAACAAGGTCCGATTAAATCCATAGCTCCAATTATTATGACGGGGGTATGTGAGCAGAGAAAGCGTAGCACCTTCATTTTATACTGTCTAGGTTCAGAGGGATGTTGTAAATCTGTTCCTGTTGTGACGAAATACAACGCATGTTTGGCAAAGTATTTGGGGATACGAATTTTTTAAATTTATCCACTGCATAACTATGTATAAGGGCCAATAACTTTCAAAATAATTTGCTGATTAGCCGAACTGCTAGACCATCAAGTTACTTTATTATTATTCAGGCTCGAAAACAATAGTCAGATGACACTGTTTTTAATTCAAGAAAGCACGTAGACGTTGGGAAACATTTCTCGGCTGCCCCTGTTTGAAGTTTGAGGCAGGAACTAAAATGAAATAAATATGGAAACTACTAAGGTTTAACTGAAAATCCCTGTTTTTGTTTCGCCAAAACGTTGGATATTTTTTCGCGATGTTGTGAAAAAATTGACGGCTCGAGATACTCCAAATCGTACATAGTCAGGTACCTAGTACACTGATGTTAACTTACAGTCACAGGCCTGTTAAAGGCATTCAGTGGATGCAGGACACAGTCAGTCAGCATGTTAAAACTCGCTGAAAGGTCTAGAAAATGAACTTTTTCCAAACCTGCTAGGAAATAGTGAGCGGTTCGTTCCTTATAAACAACTGAGGTCTTATGAAGAGCATATTTCAGTTATGCGTTGAATGCTAGTAGACACGTTATCGACTGAATTTACTCTAGCGACTCAGATAAGTCCAATTTATACTTGAATGTGTCACCTAGAATCTACCGGTTCATTTGCCGTGTAGTAACAACTACTGAAAGCCAATATGCTTGGCTCGTCATTGCTTATTGCCAAAAGCCGTGTTTTCGACAAACTCCGAGAGCCTAGGCATAATTTCGGTTGCGTACTGTGTTGGTTGATAAAGCGCACTTTAGGCTAACTTCTTTTTGGATTTTGGGGATAAGAAGGAGCACTTAATCTAAGGTGTTCCGGAATTTAACTAAAGGAGCCCGCAGGTCATCAAGTTTGCTGGAAGCGAGGTCAAATATTTTAGAACGTTCCCCTATGGAAAGAGGGCGGAATGAGGAAGTGGTAGAACAAGGTCACGCGCGAGGACACTGCCGGCTCGGGAAAATGGCAGTCTAAAAACCTGCTACAGGATTACCAGCTGGAATGACGCACCGCACATTCTTCTGAAGCATAGACGAGTTTTCCGCCCAGCCAGTCATTCGCGTGCATGCCTGCCAAAAGTGCACAGCCGCCCAAAAGCAGTTCGTTCTACGTTTCCCATTAAAAATACGAATTAGGCGGCTAACGACTGAACAACTATTAAGAGGGCGAGAAAATTTCGACACAACGAGAGTGACCTTCGTAGACGAGCTTAGTCAGTTTGTGCCCGTTTGATCCCAATAGGTTGTGCTGGCCCATCGAAACGCATAAATGGCATACACATGCGTAGTATTTAAGATTAAAATCTGTGTCGGTCTGTGTAAACGAGCAGCAAACATGTGGAGCGTGTCGACCAGGAACAAATTTAGGTTAATAAATATGCATCTTACCGAAGCAGATGAACATTGCCGGCAACTACAAGGGAGACTGGAATGGCCATTTCTGACTCATTAGCCGTTATAAGAAAGTCATACCCAACCGTAGGTGATGCACCGCCCGAGGATCCAACACGCGACCTTTTTTATCTGGAGTTTAACGCTCTCACCGTTGAGCCACGGGCAGAGAAGGGAAACTGCAACTCACTAACCGTCATCAGCCAGAAATTGCCTTCCCAGTCGCCCTTGTTTTTGCCGGCAATGTTCATCTGCCCGTGGCTCAACGATGAGAGCGTTAAACTCCTGATAAAAAAGGTCGCGTTTTCGACCCTCGGGCGGTGCACCACCTACGGTTGGGTATGACTTCCTTATGACGGCTAATGAGTCAGAAATGGCCATTCCAGCCTCCCTTGTATTTTCCAGCAGTGTTCATCTGTTTA